CTCGGGGGGTGGGAGATAGCGAGTGGGGGAAGGAAAGAGTTAGGGGAAGGGGGGGTTCTCGATTAAATTTCGGCGCCGGTCTCTCATTAAGGGGAATCTTCCTCTCGAAAGTCATTTAAACATGCGTGGCGGTGACGCGATCGGCAGCGGTCATACCGTGGGGTGGGGCCGGCGCCACGGCCCTGAGCTGTGGTCAGTCGCCGCTGAACAATGTCATAAATAAATAATAGAAAACCTCTCGTGTCGAGGACCCCGTCGGATACAGGGCGGAGTACACGTCCGCCTGCATGTGCAAAAGGACCCCAGGGCCGAGACCGCCCGCCCGCCGACCAGCCCTTCCGACTGGACGGGCGGGGACCCACAGCCGGCCCTGATCCTCGAGTATTTGCTCAATTGAGTGTATTTACTGAAAGAGAAGGTGACAGCGGTGGCGCCCGGCGGGCCTCCCCTCATGCGGCGGCCTGGCCTCGGAGCCCCCCCGGGCCCCAGGACGAGAATGAGGCAGGGCGACGAGGCGAGGGTGAAACCAGCGTCAACCCGGCAGAGAGGCTAGGCGCCCCGGGGGCGGGGTCGACCCGACCGCCACCGCACCACAGGCACCACAGGGACTGGGACGTGGGTAGCGGCCACATCGGCACTCGGTGTGGCGGCAGCGGCACCGCGTGGTCGTGGTCCGCAGACGGCCCTCGGGGACGGCATCCTCCTCCTCCTCCTGTAGGCTAACCACGCCCTCCACGTGTCGGCGGGCTGGGGCCGGGGCCGGGGCCGACCAGGGGGTGGACACGTCGGGGTGCCTTCCTGTCCACCCCGACAGCGCGCGGTCGCGTCCTGCGGTGGTAGGTGAGCCCGGCTGCCGCCCGCCACCCCTTCTCTCGCCCCCCTGCTGCCGCCGGGGAGGAGCATCCACGTGTTTACCGTCGCGTGGCAGGAAAATGCTCGGGGCGCAAATTAGTTGTGACGCCCTGCGCCGCGAGAGAAGGGATGGAGGCACAAAGTTTGGCAGCACGACGACTCGCCTCTGGAAAGCCGAGGCGGAAAGGTTCAGACCCCGCCCCGCCCCGCCGAGGTACCTGTCCTGTGTGTGGCTGCCCATGACCTAATTGCCATCCTCCTGAGGGTGTGTGAACCGGTGTAAACCCATCCGCCGCCGGGAAACGGTTCCCGCTTTTCGCCGTCGTCACCAGCACCCGTTCCCCGGAACCCTCATTTGCCCCTTTACTTTTTCTCCTACATTCCTCTGCACGACTCGCCGTCTGAAACTTTCGGAAGTTTTCCGGGAGGGAACGAATAAAAACAAGTGGTGGTGATAAAAAGGAAGGCTTTGACTATACTTTATTGGGTGTATCACTTTGTTTTTCGAGGCGCTATCGGCAAAAACACGCTCAGCGTCAGCCTCTGAAACTGCGGATTAAGGGCGTGTAAACTGTACACCACCTGCGGCGCCCAGCTGGAAAATCATAATCACAGCAGAGAATATATTGAAAACTTTGGAATGCACTGTTCTTTACGAGGGTTTAATTTCGCGGTGCGCAGCCCGGCCACACGCTGACCTGGATACTGATTTGGGAGGGCGGCTTGGCGACAACAAGGCGTCGATGACGGACGGCTAATTGATCTCGCCCAGCCAAAACAAGCCCGTCGGAAATTGTTTACCCGCGAGTCCGCGGGCGCTGACAGGTTAGTCGACGTCTGGCCAACGTAATCCGGCAAGTGCGGGCTCGGGGCTGCCAGGCCCGACTCGGAGCTGCGCGGCTGCATAAGTGCAGAGTGCACCCTTCGCTCGCCGCCCCGCCCCCGTGCTCCCCGCGCCAAGGCCCTCTCTCCTCGCGCCCGCAGCGGCGAAAGCGAAAGGAGCGCATCCCTTTTCGGAACAAACTCATGACAGTGCACTGTTCTCACTTCGGTTCGGCCGGCATTTTTTGGGATGGTCAAACAGTTCCCTCCAATCGCAGAGAAGCCTCTTTAACACTTTCCGTGCAAGGTGTTCACAATGTGGACCCGGGCCCACACCCCTGGACCCAAATACCAGGGTCCTAGTATTGCCAGAAGTCTACAATAAAATTTCCAGCGCCCTCCGATGATACATTTTTTTAATTTATTGTGGTCAGCACGGAAAGTGTTAAGAAACTGGGGAACCGACACACCGCGTTTGTCCTTCTATCTCTTGGCCTTGTCCACGGTACTCTCTATCGGTTGTGTCAATAAAATACAGAGAAAGTGAGAGAGGTGATCAGTACCTTCCATTAGCCATGTCCACTCTGCGGACGGGACGTCGATGCGGCGAGTTGGTTTCTCTATCAGCCGCTTGATCCACTTCACTTCGCCACTCTCGCTCCACTAACACACTCACTTACTCACTCCTCACTCGTGCACACGCCCCTCTCTCTCCCTCTCTCTCCTCGCCGAGAGGCCAAGCGGGCCGCCGGAGGGGTTGCGGCACAGATCACGACCACGATCACGCTCTTCTCGACGGCGGCGGGGGTATCAGAGCGGAGGGGGCACTGAGCTAACAACAGGGGCGAACAAAAACCTTACTCGCCCGGCGCGGCGGCGGCAGCGGCGCGCGCAGTGACTCGTCGCGGCCGCGAAAAGAAACACGCAACTATCGCCGTCTGGGGGGCGGCGGCAGCACGGCGGCGCGGGCGTCGATCGACTGCGGCTTCGCGGCGCTTTGGCTTCGGCCGGCCAGGATGCGCTACGCTCGACGCGACGGTACGCGAGCGACTGTACGCGGCGGGCGGGACGCCTCTCGCGCCTCTCGCGCCTCTCGCGCCGCCCCCCCCCCCCCCCCCCTCCTCCCGCATCACACCACCGGGCGGCCAGCGACGGCAGGGGCTCGACCAGACGCACCCCCTGGAGCAACAAGCAGAGAACGGCGCCAGAGAGGATCGGCGAAGGAAAACACGGTCCGCGGGCCGGGTAATTGAGGCCGTGACTCCGCGTGACGCGCGAGTGTTGGAGAGCCGGCCGGAGTAGCGCGGCGCCGCCACCAGTCTGACGGCAGCAAGAGGCCGCTGCACCCCCTTTTCCCTCCTCCCCCTCCCCCTCCTCCCCACCAGCAGCGTTATCAGCAACCTGCAGGCGGACTGCTGCTTCTGGTCACTGGCTGTCCAACATGGTGTCCAACGCCTCCTCCTCCCACTCCTCTCCCCGACCCCCTCCTCCTCCCAATCACCCTTTCTCTCTCCCTTTCGGAAAGACTCTCAGAGCTTTCGCGTTGACGACGATCGCTAGGACGGAGGGGCGGCGGAGCGGGTGCGAGGTACAGCCATGGCCAGAACTGACCCACCCCGCGACCCCGCGGCCGCGTCAGGTCCTGTGTAATGTAAAGGCCACGAAACAACAGTGTTTACGGGTTTGCATACCCAAGGCGCCATGGCACCGCGGCCCTCCTGACACATACGGTCCTCACACGCAGAAAAAAAATTCGTGGCTCTGCTAAGTTTTTAGCACCGGGGCTAAAAAATTAACTGAATGGACTGGGCTAATTTATTTAGCAACGGGGCTAATTTTTTAGCCGTAAAGTAAACCACAACGATTATTAACCGTGTAGCTAATGTCACTTAGCTCTACAGCTAAATATTTTTACACCCGGCTAATTTTTTGGCAGGGGTGTAAAATTGTGCAGTTAAACCGATTTGCACGGAACCG